CTGATTTTGAAGCTTTAAAAATAATTGCTGATATTGAAAATGTAAATCTTCAAACAATTTTTTATTGTTTTGTTTCAGATAAAAATTAAGTAACGCTATGCATATAAATTTAGGAGATGATTGTTAAAGTGATTCGCATACAATATTTTTTTTTTAAAGGCGGGTACATAAACACACGTAAGGAAAGTAAAACATTTTAAAACTTGCAAGTAAATGACATGATTAAAGGCAGATATATCACAGATATGAAAATTGCATTTTAAAAACTTAATAAAATGTAACGATGCAATTATTTACGACCAACAAATTTTGTATTTTTTTTTTAAAGGGGGAAATATTCGTTGTAAAACAGTAAAGGGATACAATCATGAAATTTCTAATGTTAAATTAGAACAAAGAAAATATCTCGGTTAACTTGGCTTATTTCCCATTTATAAAGCCAATACTTAGACGTTTTATCAACAAAGATTTCACAATGTCTAAAGGTAAGAAAAAAAAACAACGACAAATGGTAAATGGGAACAAGATGATTCAAGCTAAGAGATAAAAAGTTGAAAAAAGTTTTTCTTTATACAACAAACCTGAACACTATAAAAATTTACAATAAAATACAAATCTACTACATTTATACATTATATAATAGCACAAAAACCATCTATTGGAAAGGAAAAAGGAAAGAACATTCATTTCAGCATGCATTATATATATATATATATATATATATATATATATATATATATATATATATATATATATATATATATATATGCATAGTTTTACACTGCTGGGCGTTTTCACCCTTACTGTGGTGACCTGCTCTTACAGGTCACGTAAAAGGTCAGCCTCGACTTGAAACTCGTCAGGCCTATCAGGTTGCGGCAGACAATGTTGCCGCCGTTGCCATGGCAACTGGATGGTGGGGGTGGGGGTCGAGATACAACATCCTCGATCAAGGGCCCGTTATTCCCAACTTCCGCTCAAGTATTCTTGATACAAAATGCGGAATCACCCAAAACAAAATAAAATAAAACTTTGGACGGGAATAGGGTTTTTTTTTTAAATTTTTTTTAAAAATGGGGCGTTTCAATAGTGGTCAAAACTGGCGTTGGGTGAATGTTTTTTGGGGTGTCCGTCGTTCCAGTGTTTCTTGACCGGACAGGTCAGCTTGTAGAAGGTGCGGAACTCGGAGCCCAGGCTCTCGTCGACGATGTGGTGCATGAGCTCTCGGTTCGTGATGGTGGGCGAGGTGGCCCGCGGCCCGGCGCCGCTGCCTCCACCGGAAATGGATTCTATACTATACTGGCTGGAGTGGTGGTGGTGGTGGTGGTGATGCTGCTGCTGTTGCAATGGCAGTGCAAGAGGATGACCAACGCCTGAGGGGACACAAAACAAAAATCTAACCAAAAAAATTTCACAAGACGACAGTGAACTACATTATGTCAACAAAAGAAAAAAACTCAGGCATGAAATGTTTTGTATGATCCTCTACAGTACAAATGTTAAGTGTTAGAGACCCACATCTTCATGCTGGATCAAGGTTGGTTCTGGGTTCATGAACGTATCGTTAGGGTTAGTGTCAACGTATTAATTTGGTGTGTTAATGTATTAATTTGGTGTGTTTACGTATTAATTTGGTGTGTTAACGTATTAATTTGGCGTGTTAACGTATTAATTTGGTGTGTTTACGTATTAATTTGGTGTGTTTACGTATTAATTTGGTGTGTTAACGTATTTATTTGGCATGTTAACGTAGCACTTTGTTTACGCATTAATTTGGTGTTAAACCCTTCATTGGTTTCTAAAAACCCTTATTTAATTCATTTAATATTTGTTAACGCACCTGCAAGCATTCACGTAAATCGAGCACAAAAAATAATTGTTGGCAGCATTTAATATTTTATTTGCTGCCAAGGCTATTTTTCAAAGATTTATGGATTTTAAAACAGTATAATTGACGCGAAAAAGACTATTTAAATTGCTAATTGATTGTTTTTGTCTGTAGTGTAACTAAAATTCTGGTACTATCAAATTATATCGGTACATAAAGGGACAAAAATGTGGAGTAACTACGTGTTTGGTTCGATGATTGTATCATTGTCCTCAACGAAAGGATTGGGCGGATGCATTGAGATTATGTTGAGAAACTAACTTTAACCAGGCATATCTAGACACCACTAACTCAGGCTAAGAGTTATTGCTTTTGAGCTCTTAATTTCGACCAAGAACTTTAGCTTTCCGGTCATCCGTGGGTCTATCGTTCGACTTTGCCTTATGCAGAGGCGTAGCGAGGGGAAGGGGGGGGGGCACATGTTCCCGGGCGCCGACATTGTGGGGGGGGGGGCGCCAAAATGGGTTTGAAAAACAAATTGAAAGTTTGAGGGGGTGTGTGCAAATCAAAAGTTCGAAGGAGGTGTGCAAATCGAAAGTTTGAGGGGGGGGGGGGGAGGGTGCAAATCGAACGTTCGAAGGGGGGGGGGGGGGTGCAAATTGAAAGTTCGAGGGGGGGGGGGATGCAAATCGAAAGTTTGAGGGGGGGGCAAATCGAAAGTTTGTCCCCGGGCGCCGGGAAGGGTCGCTACGCCTCTGGCCTTATGGGCTTCAGTTTCACACCTACTTCCTTAGTAAACTAGGACAAAAACTATAACTTTAAATAAAATTAGTAAACAAATCTTTTTTTTTAAAGAAAAACAAACAATGAGTTATTCAATAATCAAGCTAGGATCTAGTAGGATTAAGATTTCAAGCACAAGTTTAGGGACAAATCGCTTATTTGCAGTTCCCATCAAAGTGTTGCAAGCAGCGCTGTTTACTTTGCAAACTAATTTTAGCATTAAAACTAACCTACATCTCAGATGTTACTAAGGTCGAAATAAAATCATAAGTAAAAAAATAAAATCTAACTAATGTCAGTCTGTGATACTTTTTGGTAGATTACATTTTTACAAGATGCTAGCGCGGGTGGGGGGAGGGAGTGTAATGTGAAGGGACGGGGGCGACTGTGGGTGCCGAACCCAGCGCTAGACGGGAAACCTTAATGTATGGGGTCAATGGTAGGTTTGTTGTGTAACAACCACAGGCAGGTAGGCAGGTAGGTAAATGGCAGGTAGGTAGGTAGGTAGGTAAATGGCAGGTAGGTAGGTAGGTAGGTAAATGGCAGGTTATACCACCGTGAGTTGACTTTCCATTGTACTTCCTTCTTCACGTCTTAAAGTCGGTTGCAGTGTTTCTTCCAGACTTTTCTCCGGAGGGTGGGGGGGGGGGGGGGGGAAAGAGGAGGCACTTGATATTTTCAGGGGGTGGGTGGACTACAATTTTCGGGGGGGGGGTGACACTGTTTAAGTATGTTTTCTATATCAATTTTATCTCGCTGGGGGGGGGGGGGAGGCTGGAAGAAACTATGATATGGAAATTTGGATGTTGAAAGTTGGAGCCAAACTTGAATACGACAAAATTTCCCAAGCCAGCTGAATGTTAGAATTCTCAATGTTGAGTGCTAAAAATTGAATGTGGCAAGAGGCCTCTGTCCATGTGAAAAGAGAAAAGACGGATGTTGAATACCGAACAACCAATGTATAATCTCAGGACTCTGTCGATTTCTTTCATAATTTCACCACACACAGCCGACCGCACTCTATTTATAAATCTCAATTTCTCTTGAAATATTCGAAATGGAAACAGCAATCTATATCGTGTAACAACCAAGTGCTGTTGTAATTTGGCGTGGCTTGAAAAGGGGTTGATTTCAAACACTGCAGACGTTGGGTGGGGGAGGGGTGGGATGGATTGATCTCAAACATTACACAGTTGGGTGAAAACCTCAGCAAATTGTAAAAAATATCAGACGGAGAAAGAGAGAGAGAGAGAGAGAGAGAGAGAGAGAGAGAGAGAGAGAGAGAGAGAGAGAGAGAGAGAGATTTGGTGAAAAAGAGAGTGAAAAAAAAAAAACCGCACAAAAATTTGGGAGGTTCTTACACATTTAAAAATAATTCTATAAATAGGTCATTAATTTTAATAATCACGCATTAAAAAAACAATAATTTCCATTTCGATTTTGGTATATTAATTTATTATTTGTTTAAAAAAATATTGCAGTAACCTCCCGTTGTAGTGTGCTATTCCTTCCAACATTGTGCATAAAATAGCGTGGAGTGGACAATGCACATAAAGCATACAAAGTTTAGATTTGCGTAACCACAGTGGAATTACATTGTAAATAAAACCTTGAACTTACGTAATTAACTAATTAATTAATCTATCAATTAAATAGAATAACATAACTTCTGATTATAAAAAACAAAAACATTTAATATTTGAAAACAAAAACCAGCAAAATGTTGATTAAATCTCAAAAATAAAAAAATGAAAATATTAAAACTGATTGTATTTTAAATCTATAAAAATATAAAATAAATGTACTTCCATTGTGGTTACACATAACTGACTCCGATACATACAATAATACATGGGTATACATTTGCAAACATATTGTAATTATTACAATTGTAATTTCACGTACCAAGCAAAATATATGATATAAAATTTACTAATAAACGATTGTGTTAAGTGTGGTAAAGTATTGCCATTTTGCTAAAGATTCTCACCATAGCTGGTGCTTATTTAAAATTAAAAAAATTTTTTTATGTTAAATATTAATTTTTCATTTACGTAAATAATTACAAATGTGTCTTATGACACTCATATTTTAATGTTATAATGGACAGAAAAAAAAATAAAATTTCTCAAGTAGGAAAATAAAATTTACAAATTTGAGAAACAATTGTTATTTTTCTGTTAAAATAAATTACCAATTAATGGATTTATAACAACTTAAATCACCATTATTTAAAGTCTTTTAAAAACTTTGCAATGGTAAATATATCTATATTTATATACTATACAAAGCGTTCTAGAACAATAAAAAACACAAATCATCACGTGATGTAAAAACATCAAACCACGGATCAAAACAGCGATCGATGAGTATCAATATCGGCACCAACCTGAGGAGGAGGGGCTGGAGGCCTTGGACGTGCTCCCACTGCTGTCGCCCTTCCCAGCCACGTGACTGCAACACTGGGCGTCCTTGGGCGTCTTGGGGACTTTGGGCAGGTCGGCGGCACATTTTAGTAAACTGTAGACGGGGTCGATTTCTTTGGCTGGGGACACAGAGAGTGTAGTAGTGAGTACACGATGGGACGATGTTGTTAGGGCGGGGGGGGGGGGGGGGTCGGCGGCACACTTTAGTAAACTGTAGACGGGGTCGATTTCTTTCGGAAGGGGAGTTTTATTGTATGCAGTGTAGCAATCATTGTATATATATATATATATATATATATATATATATATATATATATATATATATATATATATATATATATATATATATATATATATATATATATGTATATATGTATATATGTATATATATATGTATATATATGTATATATGTGTATATATATGTATATATATGTATATATATGTATATATATGTATATTCATATGTATATATATGTATATTCATATGTATATATATTCATATATATTCATATATATATATATATATATATATATATATATATATATATATATATATATATTCATTTATATATATATTCATATATATATTCATATATATATATATATATATATATATATATATATATATATATATATATATATATATATATATATATATATATATATATATATATATATATCGGATGTAAAACCGTATTTAGTGGTGTTCATTTAATTCACTATGCTATTCTACGAACTATGTAAAATAAAATGAAAATGTACAAGAATCTTTTCTGATCCAACTTACCGACTTCCTCTGGCTCCTCATCGTGGGGTACCTCTGAATCTTTTCGTTTGATCAGGCTGCCTTTTTTGGACTGTAGACAGTGTCAATATTCAATATTAGAGAGTAATGTAGACAGTGTCAATATGCAGTTTTAGAGAGTAATGTAGACAGTGTCAATATGCAATATTAGAGAGTTATGTAGACAGTGTCAATATGCAATATTAGAGAGTTATGTAGACAGTGTCAATATGCAGTTTTAGAGAGTAATGTATTAGGAAACTACTTGCATAGGTCAAATTCTTTCTTAAGTTGTCGCTGACCTATAGGTGGACAATTATGTATCAGTCCACACAAGTCAATGATGAAAAATGTTACACTAAATCAAAAATGGCAAGGCAAACTGACCCTATAATTACATGTCTGAGGCAAAAAAAAAATGTCGGTAATGGTTTCGATATTCAGAATAATTTTAAGACTAATTATTTGGAGGACTACTTTGAGGTCAAATAAGATAATAAATAATTAAATAAATAAAAAAAATTTACGAGTCTGATATAAAAATGTGACTAGATATTAAAATGTGATATAAAAAAATGTGATGAGGCAGATATAAAAATGTGACAAGACAGATATAAAAAAATGTGTGACCTGATATAAATATGTGACGAGGCAGATGTAAAGATGTGACTAGATATAAAAAAAGTGATAGATATAAAAATGTGACAACACAGATATACAACTGTGACTAGATATAAATATGACTAGATATAAAAATGTGACTAGATATAAAAATGTGACTAGATATAAAAATGTGACAAGACAGATATAAACCTGTGACTAGATATAAAATTGTGACTAGATATAAAACTGTGACTAGATATAAAAATGTGACAAGACAGATATAAACCTGTGACTAGATATAAAAATGTGACTAGATATAAAAATGTGACTAGATATAAAAATGTGACAAGACAGATATAAACATGTGACTAGATATAAAACTGTGACTAGATATAAAAATGTAACTAGATATAGAAATGTGACTAGATATAAAAATGTGACAACACAATTATTAAGATGTGACAAGATATAAAACTGTGAGTACCCACCAGCCATGTCTGTTTGTCGTTTGACTTGAGAGACTTGAAGGCTTTCTTCCACATGCCCTTGATGGAGGCTGTGTGCTTCATCTTTTCCTCGTCGCTCTCTCCATCTTCAGCGTCGGCGTAGCCATTTTGTTTTGGCGTCAGCATCTCAATCTGTAATTAATTAAATACAAAGTCCGGTAATTAATCTGTATGGTCAAGGGGTAGAGAGCGCTTTCACTACACCGTAGTACCTGAGTTCGAACCTTGCCATTTTATTTTGGTGTCAGCATCTCAATCTGTAATTAATTAAATACAAAGTCCGGTAATTAATCTGTATGGTCAAGGGGTAGAGAGCGCTTTCACTACACCGTAGTACCTGAGTTCGAGCCTTGCCATTTTATTTTGGTGTCAGCATCTCAATCTGTAATTAATTAAATACAAAGTCCGGTAATTAATCTGTATGGTCAAGGGGTAGAGAGCGCTTTCACTACACCGTAGTACCTGAGTTCGAACCTTGCCATTTTATTTTGGTGTCAGCATCTCAATCTGTAATTAATTAAATACAAAGGCTTGTAATTAATCTGTATGGTCTAGGGGTAGAGAGCCCTGTCGCTACACCGTAGTGCTTGAGTTCGAATCTTGGTGTAAATCTGGTTTCTAGATTGTATGACATTTTAATTTTACCCAGCTCCGATGGTGCGCATTGTTAGATGTTAGAGTGCACAACTGTAAACCCGGTAGACAGGAGTTCGGATACCCATCTCAAATCCAAAGCACGTTTCGTAGTTCACCCAAGCTTTGGTGGTCGCCTTGAGAAGTAAAGACTTGCCACGAGTGCAATGAAACAGGTGAACTCTACTTCATCTGCCACATTGGCCGGCAAGTCCAAAAAGGTGTCATCTTTGGTTTCATATTAGTTATATCTATTCTATCATTATTGTCTGTGCTATAAATATTTTTCACCATATCACTACTATACTCATAAGAACAGACACATGTATATTACATTAGCACTGTGTACTATAACAGTATAGGTGCGCTACAATAGAAGAATCACTAATGTTAGTGGGTCAAGCATCAGTACAATAACATGCTGAGTTATCCCTGTGTAGATGACACAAAGATTGGACGTATCGCAACACATGCTGAGAAATAAGAAGGGAAGTTCAGATACTTTGTCTTCATCAGCACTTACTATTAGAGACACTGCACATGGTTAGTGTTAGAAATGCGAGTTATTCAAGATAATCAACAGTACAAAATCAGTTAGGTTAAAGACTTGAGAGAGTATGACCAAAGTGTGTAGCCAATGTTGGTAAACTGAATTGACATGTTCTAGATCTGTGCAGTGTAGGATCTTATAGGTACCTGACTCACGTTAGGGAAAGTGTATAAACAGCCTCAGAAAGCCTCGCCTTCTATAACAGGTGTGTTTGGTATTGATATATCTAACATGACAAAATTAAAATATTTTCAAGTGCAATTATCTTCGTAATCAGCAAAGGTTTTAATTAAACATTTTACAATTACGACTTTTAAAGCAACAAGTTTATTCACACCCGCCTATCATATATATATATATATATATATATATATATATATATATATATATATATATATATATATATATATATGTCAATGAGAAATAATTCCACGGTCTAAAAGCTTTGATTTTCTATCTTTATACGTTTTTAAACTTGATAATTAAAACTTGATTGTCTAGAGCTCGAATAAATAGAATTATTTTCTAAAAAAACAAAATATTAGAATGATTTGTAAAAAAAAACAACAGACGAACACTATCGGTAAAAGATAAACCGTCTACCTGTTCTAAAAGCATTCTAACACCTGCCTAAATAAACACCCACCGACCTATGGTAGAAGCTTTCTGAATAGAAACAAATTTTCTTTAGTAGCATCCGCTAGGTGTATTCCATTAAATCCAACGCTCCAAGATTTTTTCATGCTAAATAAATCACACATCAGCTTCTACTCCATACAACACAAACTCTCTTGAAACGCGGTATTCACGAAACCAAAATTCTTCAAGTAATTGCTTCTATTTCAGACAATTCATAAGAAAAAAAAAACGAATACTGAAAGAGGAGGGTATTGTACTATCTCCGGGGGTAAATTGCGATTCAGGTGCGAATCCCAAACAACACTTTGAGTGTTGTGATGACTTTTACATACGATCTCCCGCCCTAGATTTATATGGTAAGTATTATCAACAACGTTATTGCTTTGTTTATGAAATAAAACAAAAAATTCTAAGTCACATGACGTGTTGTAGAACTCTAGAATATCTGGCCGTGATAGAGAAAGTTGCGTCCCGTGTTCCTTCCAGACATTTTTCTCCGGGGGGGGGGGGGTGTCAACATTGTTCGGGGGGGGGGGGGGCGGACACTAGTAAAAGTGTATGTTTACTATATAACATCCATCTCGTTCGGGGGGGGGGGGGGGGGCGTTAAACTTTATTCGGGGGGGGGGGGGTGGCAGAGAGCCCAACCCCCCCCCCCCTTCCAAGAGATGCCTGGAAGAAACTCTGGTTGCTTCGATAGGCGAAGTTAAGTTTGGACATAACAGCCCGCCCTTTAATAAAATACCCAGGCATTCTATAGAATACATGATTTTGGCTGACAGAGTACACAAATCATCTCATATCACTCTAATATATTACAATTCATAGTACTCAAAAGTACGCGGTAAAAACAATTTAAAACTAAAAAAAAAAAAAAAAAAAAACTAAAATAAGATAAAATTAACCCAGATATTAAAAACAAAATAAGGGCTGAGATTTTCGCAGAAGCTAATCAACGATCAATTAATTAACACGCGTTAAATGGATTAGTTTTCTAGCATTTAAAAGGTGTGTTTATACAGGAAGTCACCAAGCCAATAGGTGCTAATTATGCACATAGGAAACTAGAAAAGTAGGTACACAAAAACCTGCAGTTCTACCAACAATAAAAAGAGAATGACGCTATTATTTAGATTATATGAATAGTTACGAGTTATGTGGTGTAAGCAACTGCTGTTTCATGTATGTCATTTTATGTAGTGTTGAGTGGGGTCGTGGCTCACCGTACTTGGTAGTTCGTCGTATACTGTACTTGTGGGGACGTGGTGAGGTCGTCGTTTACGGTACTTGATGGGGGTCGTCGTGTACAGAACCTGGTGGGGTCGTGGTATAAATTACTTGGTGGGATCCTGGCGTAGAACTCTTTATGGGGTCGTGGTATAAGAGGACTTCCACCACAGTGTACCAACAAATTACTGCGTAAAATGTAATGAATGCACTATTCCTTTATTGAGAGCTGAAAGCCAGGAGCTGAGACTTGATATTAAAAACAAAATTAGGGATGAGATTTTCGCAACAGATTTAATCAGTGATCATTTGAGAGCCAAGATATCAATTTATCTCATAGCCAAGCGTTGTGAAAGGTTTTATTTAATAACATTTTTAAAAAAAGTTATAAGGTATTTTGGGAATAAAAGCTGTATGGAAATCCATACATACATGTTACATAGCTGATGCGAGTGGGCAAGTATATGACCATAACCTTTTTTTAAGCTTTTTCTAAATCGCCAATTGTTAAATGTTGAAAACAAAATTTTAAGATTATTTCAAATATTATTTAGTCTACTCATCATTCCCGTTCATGATCTAGAACAAAATGTATTCGGCGTTTCTTTTTTTTTCTTTCTATAAGGATGGATGCGATTTCTGAGGAGCTCCAAAAACGTAACTAATACTTCAGTATACTTTAGGCAAAAAAAAAAGTAAACCGTTATATTTTAAGATACAGTTAGTAGGTCATGACACACTTGACGCCCGGCCAAACCTAGTAACAAGCCAGCAAGTGTGCTCGATGGTAATTGCTCTCAACACAGCCTTGGTCTCCGGGGTGCTATTTTCGTGTCTGTGAATTAAGTGTTCGCGGGTACCCATTTTTCACTTACCTAGACGGATTGAGTCTAATTGTGTTATTGTAAAGCGATGTCGCGAGTTGAGTGAATGATGTTTTTACTAGCTATAAGCAAATAGATCTAACTCCAGCAAGCACTTTGCTAAAGCAAAAAGTATGCTAAAAAATTTCTCATTATAATTTGCAATTCATTATCTCAAAAATACTCCTATCGTTATTGTATGATTAAAACAATCTTCCTAATCGTGTATGCCCGAATTCAGTATGTCCAAACCAAAATGCTTAATCCACTATGCTCAAAATATGAATGCCTAAAACTGTTTTTCTAATTTTCTAATTCAATATGTCTAAAACAATTTTCCTGATTCAGTATGCCGAAAACATAATTACTAATTATGAATGCCCAAAACAATCTTCCTAATTCAGTATGCCTAAAACAATCTTCCTAATTCAGTATGCCCAAAACAATCTTCCTAATTCAGTATGCCCAAAACAATCTTCCTAATTCAGTATGCCCAAAAAATCTTCCTAATTCAGTATGCCCAAAACAATCTTCCTAATTCAGTATGCCCAAAACAATCTTCCTAATTCAGTATGCTGAAAACAATCTTCCTAATTTGGTATGCCCTAAATAACCTGCGCAATTCAGAATGCCTAAAACAACCTTTCTAATTCATTATGCCAAAGAAATCTTCCCAATTATGCATGCCCAAAAAAGTCTGCCCTATTTCTAGTTCCCGTCATGCCTGAAAGTCTCGGAGCTATACAACAAAAATAAAACAGTCTCGAACTAAAGGCCGGGATTCGAACTCACGACTACTAATATAACGGCGACAACTGCAACACCACCTACATTTCTCATACGAATTCACAGAGGCCCTTCATTTCATTCGTTATAAAAAATTCAAGACTAATAAAATTAGCAGAAAATAAACGTACATACACGTACATTTTACACTGTTCACACTGATGTATTTCTGTTTAAAGAGTTTTTATCACAATTAAAAACAAATACAACTTCGTACACAGCCAATTAAGCGACTTAGGACGTCAAATTTAAAATAAATGTATTTACCGATAGAAAATTATACATACACAGCTTCAAAGCAAAAAATAAAATGAAACCCTCATTTTTTTTGGAACGAATTTAACGAATTAAACTACATAGATGAGTGAGTTTGTTTTGACGATTAGACCACACATTTAAGTTTTGTCTACATTCCAGTAATGAAGTAACACAATACATGTTGCTTTCGTGTAAACATTTTTTAATTTTATACAGAAAAGTGTTGCAACGAAACTTCTTTATTGTTCTTAATTCGATCTTTGTCTAAATTTTCTAACCTAAAACAATTTATTAATTAATTAACAAAAACAATTTAAACCAGTTTTACAAATCATTATTTAAGCTAGTACAGGTAAACGTTTGTTCTGAAAAGGAAAAGAGATAATCTTTCTGCAAAGTTCATTAGAGGCTTAAAAATGTTTGTATACAATTTGAAGGCGGCGTGGCCTAGCGATAGAGCGCTAGACAACTAATACGAAAGAATGGGTTCCGGGTTCCAATCAGCAGAACTTCCCTGAGATCATCCAGCTATGAGGGGTTCCTAACAACATTGGGGAAAGTAAAGCCAGCTGGGCATAGTGCCGACCACACTATCTCTTCATATGCTGAAATCACAGAAACAGGTGAGCTCTACTTCACTTGCCCCATAAACCGTTAGATTCGTAAAGGTAACACTTTGAGATGTATTTAATACTTAGAATAATAAGAAAAAGTTTGTTAACAATCTTACACCGAGGGTTTGATGAGTCAAATAATTTTCTGATATTTAACACGTAAGAACACCTTGGATACACACTTTTTTAGGAAATACATATTAGATATAACACACTTTTGGATAAACACAAGTTAGATTAAACACACCTCAGTATAAGTGATAGATGGAATACACTTTAGAAAACACGAAAGTTAGATTAAGGAAATACTTTATTAGGAAATACATATTAGATATAACACACTTTTGGATAAACACAAGTTAGATTAAACACACCTCAGTATAAGTGATAGATAGAAAACACGAAAGTTAGATTAAGCTCACTTTAATGAAGGTTATTCGTACTTTAGTATACTTAAAAGTTAAACACGTTTTAGTTTAAAAGAAAATTGATTTTAAACACAGTTTAGTATAAAAGAAAATTGATTTTAAACAGTTTAGTATAAAAGAAAATTGATTTTAAACACGCTTTAGTATGAAAGAAAATTGATTTTAAACACGCTTTAGTATGAAAGAAAATTTATTATAAACATAGTTTAGTATAAAAGAAAATTGATTTTAAACACAGTTTAGTAAAAAAGAAAATTTATTTTAAACACGCTTTAGTATAAAAGAAAATTGATTTTAAACACGCTTTAGTATTAAAGAAAATTGATTTGAAACACGTTTTAGTATGAAAGAAAATTGATTTTAAACACGCTTTAGTATTAAAGGAAATTGATTTTAAACACAGTTTAGTATGAAAGAAAATTGATTTTAAACACAGTTTAGTATGAAAGAAAATTGATTTTAAACACGTTTTAGTATGAAAGAAAATTGATTTTAAACACGCTTTAGTATGAAAGAAAATTGATTTTAAACACAGTTTAGTATGCAAGAAAATTGATTTTAAACACAGTTTAGTATGCAAGAAATTGATTTTAAACACTCTTTAGTATGAAAGAAAATTGATTTTAAACACAGTTTAGTATGCAAGAAAATTGATTTTAAACACGCTTTAGTATGAAAGAAAATTGATTTTAAACACACACGGATGAGCGAAAACTCGTTAGATTAAACACACGCTCTGATTAGCGAACACTCGTTAGATTAAACACACCAAATTGAGCACACACAATTGAACACATCGTGTAACTTACGCCGCGAGTACATCCCAAAAAAATGGACATGATTGCCAGAGCAGATTTCATAGCACAAGGACACGTTAGGAAACTTGAAAGAAACCTCAAATAATAAACTGGTGCTTAATCCGGCTAATCCCCAAGAAGTAACCAAATTTTCTTACGTATTCATTAAAATAACACTGACAATCAATTAGCGGATTCTTTGTTAATTATGAAAACATCAACCGAATCGCTTTTGAAAGTTTCATAAACAATATTTCAATTCAACTTTGGTAAAATTTTGTTGAAAAATAATAAATTTGGCAGAAAAGTATTATTTTGAAAAGGAAAAAATCAATCTCTTTATTTCATATTAGATTCTGTTTTTAAAAAAAATGTTTAATAGAATACTCAAAGAAGCATCCTGTATGAGGGAAGATAATATACAATTTGATAAACAATTATAAACTTTTGTGGCATAATATGTTGCCACAAATGATAATATAGTACTAATAAAACCAAAATAAAACCAACAAAACCGATCCAATATGAGAATGCACTGTAAATTTGAAAAACGGAGCCGCATAAATGAAAATTGAAACAGTCACAGAACTTATACACTACATGTAGCATCCTACACGAAATGTTAACAGAGCCACATAGTTTAACTAAGAGATCCAGTAACACTTTATAACGAAATCGCTTACGAAGCCGTACAATTAAAAAGTGAACCAAGTACAATTATAAGTTGCAACGAACATACAACTAAATACAGCAATGATCCGTACTATTTATTATTGCATGAAGCCGTTACATTAAAAATTGCAGGGATCTGTACAACTAAAGATTGCAAAGAGCCGCACAAATAAAAATGTGTACTGGGCCGAACAACTAACAATGTAGCCGTCTGAGTCTTAAACTTAAAAGATGTTCAGAAACACAACACGAAACGAAACGATGTTTCGATCTGTATCACTAAATGTTCTAACTAAAAGTATAACAACAAGACGCATATGTTTCGTACTATTAACAAATGTTATGAGTCTTACACTTGGAAACACAAAACGTAATGAAACAAAAAGTATAACTAAAAGTAAAACAACAAAAAAACAAGACGCATAGGTTCCGAACTAATAACAAATGCACTGAGTCTTACATTCGGAAACACAAAACGTAATGAAACTAAAAGTATAACAAAAAATATAACTAAAAGTATAACTAAAAAACCAAGAAGACGCATAGTTCCGTACAACTAACACATTCACAACACTAAAGTTCCAGCTCCAGAACCGGCTCCTACTAACAATCTCCAGCTCTCACTACCAACTCCTCACTGCTTCACATCCCGAATTTCAACAGCACAGTCTCCCAGCCTAAACACTAGCATCAAGTTCTAAAGATTTGAAAGCAGCAACCTCTTGTATCTATCAAAGACTTAAGGTAGTTTTTTCCCCCCTTCTTCTCGGAAGAGTATTCCCAGACATGCGCACACTGAAGTTGAAAAGTATTTTTTTTTAAAAAAAAAAGGTAAGGCGCCTAGAATGTTTTTATTTTTTTATATTTTTAAAAACCGATTTGCTACGACATGCTAATGTAGTTCTTTAGAGTATATTTAGAAACATGAAAGGTGAATCTATTTGATGACGTAGGTGGGTTTATACACCCCACCCCACCACCCCACGCTCCCGTGGGTAACCGCCCCGCCCTGCTCATCTCGTACACCGCGGGTACCTCGACAAAGGTAAGGATCTACCCCTGATAGAATTAACGGCTGCTGTGGTGTTAGAGTGCAGGTAAAAATAAATACGGCTCAATTTCTTCGCTACATGTATCAGTTTATTTAACGGCATTCGGCACCAGTCTTAGCGTCGTCCTCTAACCCATTTAGAGCCGGCTGGATACGGGAATTACCAGTAGTAATCTCGGATCATCTCTGTACACAGGTATACCAGGGGAAAGTTCGATATTTTTTAATATTAAGAGATGAAGCATTAAAGTATAGTCGTACTGAGTGATGAAGCATTAGTGGGCCTAAAGCTCTTCTAAGAGATGAAACATTGAAGTTTAGTTGTACTGAGAGATGAAGCACCCAAGTATAGTTATATTTAGAGGCAAAGGATTAACGTAGGCTTATAGCTCATCTAGGCAATGTAGCATTAAAGCATAGTCGTTTTAAGAGATGAAGCGTTAAAGTATAGTTATTCTACGCGACAAAGCATTGTAGTATTCAACAAAGGAATGAAGCATTTAAGTATTGTTCTACTTAGGAATGAAACATTAGAGTGTAGCTCTACTAAGCGATGTAGTATTAAAGTATAGTTATGGCATGGAACGAATCATTAAAGTGTTCAACTATGAGGCAAAGCATTAAACTGGAGCACTACTAATAGATAGAGGGGACGGCGTGGTCTAGCAGTAGAGTGCTGGACTGATAACACGAAAGCCTCGAATACGAATCTGGGTTCGTCTGTAGTACGTACCTGAGTCAACCAGCTCTTTATGGGTACCTAACTCACGTTAGGGAAAGGAAAGGCGGTCGTGCATAGTGCTGACCACACAATCTCTTCATAAGCCGAGATCACAGAAACAAATAAACTTGCCCCAAAGATCGTCAGGAACTTTTTTTCTAATAGATGAAATATTAAATCAGTGTACTACAAATACCACCAACACAGCGAACATCCATAGCATGGAGTTTTCCCTTCCACTACAGCTGTTAATGTTAATGTGATGGTTAAGATAAGCGGCAGTGTTGGTTATATCACAGGAAAAGGCTAGTGCTACGGTAACTTTTCTAGAAAATAATGTAGTAAAGTTCGACATTTTCTGGTGTCTAATGAAGTATATTGGTGCTGCAACTTGGTGAATTCGTTGCTTGAAAGTCTTGAGTTTAGTGTCTAGCTAGCTCGCTATATTGAAATGCACTCAATCCTTAGGTGCTTATAAAACTTGATAATTTCATTAAACAATGTCATATTCGTTCATTTGTGCTGCATACATATACGTATAAATATATGAAGTTAGTAAAAGAGCTAGTTGAGGATTGTGTTAGGTATAGAACTTTAGTTTTAAATGTCGACAACACTAATAGAATGTAACGAATTATAACGTACACACAGTAAGAATAACAGTTTTATTGTACTGTCTGCAAGAAGCCATCTAAAATATAATTTACTCGCCTAGTCGTGAAGAATTCTATTCGACCGGTGCTAAACAAACCCAACACCCATGAAATGTTAACACCTACAGTGGAAGCCTAGAAGTGTATTATATCAGAATAGAACATAAAAAAAGATTTTAAATTAAAACAGCACAAAGAAGACAGATCTTTAATATTAATTTATGAACAATAATGACAGGTACATTTTTGCCAGAGCTATACCACTGCACGTAAGACAAGAGTGATATTTTGTTTACAACTTTGAAAAATCTGGTCTAAGTTTGTTTACTGAGACGAGTTAGTATAGCGTTTTAGCGCCTACCTGTATTTTAGCGTTATTTTAAATATATTATTTCGATGTACTTGAGGGAAGTAATGAAGCAGCTATTAATACAAGCAGCTAAGTAATATTGTTAAAAAAAAAAAACTTTATTTTTTAGATTTTTGAGATAAAGTGATTCATTTTTTTTCCGATTTTTAAAATTACCTAAACGTTTCTGATTATGTATTAAAAATACATTTTTAAAAATAAAAAAAAAATAAAGCGTAAAAACAAACAAATTATTTCAATTATATGACGAATGAAAACATACACCGGAAGTAAAAATCACAAACACCTAGTTGTGGGACCTCGCGTCTCGAGTTTTTGTGTTGCTAATATTGCTAGTTAGTGTTTGTATTTATTCTTTACAAACATACCAACTCAAATAATTACTACAGATTATGTATGTTTACAGAAAACCACGCCCCCCCCCCCCCCCTTCCCCACCAGACAGACAACAAAACCAAACTAAGGCCGACATGCGGAGAGGATACCGGATCAGTATCGCGTACGTCACTCTGGGTCTAGGTGTCTGGGAAGCTGTTGTCAGTCGGTGGAATGGTGTTGGTGGAATGGTGTTGGTGGAATGGTGTTGGTGGAATGGTGTTGGTGGAATCGTGTTGGTGGAATGGTGTGAGTCAGTGGAATGGTGTCAGTCGGTGGAAATGTCAGCCAGCTTCAGACCGACATACTAACCCACCTTCGGCAATATATATATTATATATATATATTATATATATATATATATATATATATATATATATATATATATATATATATATATACACATTACGACATATAGTCCATCTTCTTATTCGACCTCGGCTTATGATGTTTTGTCAGCACAATTTCTACTTAACCAAATTAAACCATTTTAAAAAGTAAATGAGAAAAGTAAAACAAAACAAAAGTAAAAAAAAAGTAAAAATAACATTACATAAAACCCCCAAAACAACAAAGAAGAAAAAAAATGTTATTTAGCTCGGGCTATCGTGAGATTAACTTGGCCTGAAACTTGTAACATTTTCACAATTACCATAGAGCTCCATCTATCTCTGCCACGCACGCTTTTCCCGCTGTTTGAGCGCCAATCGTTCCGTGCTATTAGCATATATAAAGGGCGCGGGGTCGCTAGGAAGGATAACCCAGCTCAAAGTGTAGACGCGGGGACACGCTTAGAAAAACATTCGCCAGCGCCATTTTGATTAAGACCAAGCTTTTTCGTTACAGGTAAACAACGCGATCCATGGACACTGATCCCTTAGTCTCCCCGACCCCTTTCGACCCTTAAAAAAGTAGTGCCGTTTTTTGCGAGTTCCTACTCCTATAACTTAACCTCCCGCCATTAAGCTAACTCCAGCTCATAGCAGAAACATTACGCAATAGGAATAAAGTAGTTCTGTGTTTTTCTCTGTCGGGAGTTTCTAGAACACCCTCGCTACTTCATGACCCCCACAACTTGACCCCTCTTACTCCTGGCGGAAGCATTGGGTAATCCGAATAAATTAATTGGTGTTATTCCCCCTTGAGACTATTTACATGGCTCCCTGCGAATCTTGAACTCCCTGACTGAACTGAGTGTGGCAATGCTGAGTGATTCGTTAAAGTTGTACCGTGAGTTCATTTTACATTGTGAATTCCTACATAATCACACATGTCTACACACACACTCGATTACCTACACACTTCTTCCACCCACAACATACACTACCACACTGCCTCCTCCTCCTAGCATCCCCCCTCCAGCCTCACTCCACCAATACACCTCTTTCACACACTCTCACTCCACACATTCTTGCACCAATCCACCTAAACCCCTCCTCCACCCACTAATCCACCTAAACCCCTCCTCCACCCACTAATCCAACTAGACCCCTCCTCCACCCACCAATCCAACTAGACCCCTCCTCCACCCACTAATCCACCTAGACCCCTCCTCCACCCACCACACCACCTAGACCCCTCCTCCACCCACCACACCACCTAGACCCCTCCTCCACCCACCAATCCACCTAAACCCCTCCTCCACCCACTAATCCACCTAGACCCCTCCTCCACCCACCAATCCAACTAGACCCCTCCTCCACCCACCAATCCAACTAGACCCCTCCTCCACCCACTAATCCACCTAGACCCCTCCTCCACCCACCAATCCAACTAGACCCCTCCTCCACCCACCAATCCAACTAGACCCCTCCTCCACCCACCAATCCACCTAAACCCCTCCTCCACCCACTAATCCACCTAGACCCCTCCTCCACCGACCACTCCACCTAGACCCCTCCTCCACCCACCACTCCACCTAGACCCCTCCTCCACCCACCAATCCAACTAGACCCCTCCTCCACCCACCAATCCAACTAGACCCCTCCTCCACCCACCAATCCACCTAGACCCCTCCTCCACCCACCAATCCACCTAAACCCCTCCTCCACCCACCAATCCAACTAGACCCCTCCTCCACCCACCAATCCAACTAGACCCCTCCTCCACCCACCAATCCAACTAGACCCCTCCTCCACCCACCAATCCACCTAAACCCCTCCTCCACCCACCAATCCAACTAGACCCCTCCTCCACCCACCAATCCAACTAGACCCCTCCTCCACCCACCAATCCACCTAAACCCCTCCTCCACCCACCAATCCAACTAGACCCCTCCTCCACCCACCAATCCAACTAGACCCCTCCTCCACCCACCAATCCAACTAGACCCCTCCTCCACCCACCAATCCAACTAGACCCCTCCTCCACCCACCAATCCACCTAGACCCCTCCTCCAACCACTTTCTCTATGACACCATCACCACAACCTTCATCCCATCCTCCACTCAAATATTCTCCTGCACCCCTCCACCCATACCTTACCCACATCCCTTCTCCACCACACCCCTTACTACCCACCCTAACACCTTCCCCACCCAACCACAA